GATCTCCTTTACCAAGTATAATGTACTTCTCAGGGGACTGGCGTCCCCTAAGAGCATGCCCAAAGTACATGTGACAAAGTCTCCCCACCCTTGCCTCTAAGGAGTATTCTGACAATACTTCTTCCAAGACATATGTATTTGTTCTTTTGGGAGTCCATGGTACTTTTCAATATTCTGCTCCAGCACCATAATTCTAATGCATCCATTTTGCTTCCATCTTCCTTAGCCAGTGTTTCATTCTGTGTGCATAGTGTCACTGTGGGTCAGAGCCAACTCAAAGGAACCCAACAACAACAACAACAGGCTGACACCTAGGGGTCACTGACCTCCACTTAGAATCTAGAAATGGCAAGTTCCAAGAGCCTGGGAGGCAGGATTATTCGTCAGGTATTTCTAAAACCAGAGATTTGTCTCCAAATTTTCAAAGCTAATAATTGGCCTGCTGAGTTTGGATCTATGATGTTCTTTACCCCCTAAATCTCCCACTTGGAATCAGAATATCTACTTTAGACCTGTTCCATCATTGTATGTTAGAAACTTATGCCTTTTATTTTGGTTTTTTTAATCTACAAGTGGAGACTTTTGCTTAAGGGTAGACAAAACAGAGTGGTACCCATATGTGATTTAAATGATTCATAAGATTTTGTACTTAAACTTGATACTGAATGGGTTTAGAATTTTGAGAATTATCTGATAGAATAAATGTGGTTTTGCATGTAGGGGAAACCTAAGTTTTGGGTAGCCAAAGTGTGCACTATTATGCATATGATTGTGTTCCTCATAAATATGTGTCCAATTTTTGGCTCAGGAACCTATGAATATGATCATGTTTGGAAATAGGTTTTTGTTATCTTAATTAGTCATACTAATGTAGGGTGAATCCTATGCGTAGTCACAAAACTTAGAAAAAGACCACAGTTGACATAAAGACACACCGAAGGGGGCCAGCAGATGTCTTAGTAGGATTATTTAGAAGCTAAGGAACACCCAGGAGCAAGAAGTGTCTTGGAATGCCTACAATGAATGAGTCCTGGGGCTAAGTTCCTGAGATGGAGTTTAGCGTTCACAATGCAAGAAAATGCATGTCAGTTCTCCAAGGTCATTTCGTATGGTCTTTCGGTTATAGCAACTCCAAGGAACTAATATACCCTGCTTCCGGCTTTCACTGAAAACGAGCAGGCGAGAAGTGCCAAGACGAGGAGGTTTTGCTCTTTCAACTATCTCATCTTTAACTCTAGTTAAAGAGACTTCACCTTGGCCTTCATTGTTCCAGAAACTCTGTATGTTTGTATCATTTTCCTGGTCAATTTAATATAACTTCATAATGATTTGTGTGAATCCCCAGGGAACATATGAATATTTCTCTAACTCCAAGAGGAATATTGCAAAGTGCATGAGATTGACTGCATGAAGGAGGGGGAAAAAAAGAGAGAGTGAGAGAGAATTGGGGGAATTAGAAAGGCATTTGTTTTATTTACTCTCCATTTCTCTCTTGCCCAAGACCCTCCTAATTATGAGTATGCTTTTGTCTCTCTCTCTGCCTATTCTAGATATTTCCTATAAGCAGATTCACACAGTATTTCTATTGGGCCTAACAATTCACTTAGCATGTTTTTAAAGTTCATTCATGTGGATGAACATTAGTATGATCAGCACTTAATTTATCATTTTTGACTGAATGATATCATTATATGAATATTGTTATAAGGCCTTAAAACATCTATATGAATAGAATTATAAGGTAATGTAATCTTATCATGAGTTTTTGAAATTCTTCCATATATATAATTCTTATTTTGTTTATCAATTTTCCCAGTGATATATAGAATACTCATTGTCTGGTCATATTTTTGTCTATGCCCTTCTGTTAAGACCTGAATAATTACCTTGACTATATTCAGCCAGAGTTGCTAAATGTTTAGCTCATAGTCTTGATGTCTACAACCAGCATTTACAGGTTATTTATTAATTTTACATTAACTATCTCATCATCTCATTATCCCTATGTAATATAAAAGTTAGATCAGTCCCTAAGTAATTATTATGGACACCTTTCATTTCTTTGTAGTACAAGATAAAATATGTATATATAAGTAAAATTAAAACACACAGGGTTTTAGTAAAATTGCTATGAAATTTATTTCTAAGGATGTATTTGGGTGGGATTATTCTAAATTGACAACTTGATTAAATGGACTAAGGAGGATAGAGCACAATTTTCTTATTATAGTAAAACGTTTGCTAGCAACACTTATGTTACTAGGAAGGTGATCTACAGATCCATCCTTCAGGACATTTGCCCTATTTCAGGATAAGAGGGATTTTTATAACGAAAGTGTCACAAATGGAGAAGCATTCTGATCCTGAACAATGAATAATTGCAGAACTCTATGATCGGTGTTTTTTAGCATTTAGAGGAAGCAAAATAGTTGCCCTTGCTTGATACTACAACAGATAAGCCAGGTCATGTCACCAAGCCACCATGAGACTTGCCCTTAGATACAGGTGGTTACTAACAATAGGTGCACCACGTGTCTGTCAGTTTGTCGGACTGCGGTAGTTTGTGTGTTGCTTCCATGCTAGAAGCTGTATCCCTGGTATTTCCAGTCAGCACAGTCACCCAAAGTGATCAGGTTTCCACTGTGCTTCCAGACTGGGACTACGCCACAAAGAAGGAACAGCTTGTCTCCTTCTGAGGAATTAGGCAATAAAATCCTTATGGATAACATTGAAACAAAGTCAGATACTGAAAACCTCAGGAATAGGAACAGAAAATGGTCAGAGAGAGTGCCAGAAGAGGAGCCACTCAAAATGTGACTGAGGAGAAGCTGCTGTCCCCAAGGAGAGCCAACCGTAAAGGGGGACAGACTAAGGCTTTCAGGACCCTCAGTTGCTGAAGGAACCCTACTCACAAAGAGAAGAAACAGCTGCAAATAGCAACCAATCATGGGAATTGGAATGACTTCAGGGATTTATGAAAATTGCGATATGAATTTAGGAAAATTGTAAGTTGTAAAAAATGAAATGGAACACATAAAGATCGATATTTTAGGATTTAGTGAGCTGAAAGGGACTAGCATTCAATTCTGAATGAGAAAATCCTGATTACCTTTGCCAGGCATGACAGATTCAAGAGGAATGACATTCCATACATCATTAGAAGGTCATTTGAAGATCTGTCTGGAAGTAAAGTGTTGTCTGTGATAGGATTATATTTGTCCCCATCCAAGAAATTACTGTCGATGCAACTATAGTTCTAATTTATGCACCAACCAGTGAACCTAGTGGTGCAGAAATTGAAGAATTTAACCCAAAATGTCAGTCTTAAATTGATAAAACATGTAATCCAGGTGTATTGATAATTTTGGTGAATGGAATGAAAAGGTTGGAAACGAAGAGGAAGGAACAGCAAGTGGACAACGAAGTCTCAATGTTGAAACAAAGCTGGAGACCGCAAGACAGTATCTTGCAACACCATCCACTTGTTCACAGCAAATTCCTTCTGCAACAACACAAATGGTGACCGGACACATAGGCTTCATCCTGTAGAATACACAGAAATCAAATGGACTGACTACATCCGTGAGAAGAGATGTTAGAGAAGTTCAATCCCTGTCGCTAAAACCAGGCCAGGGCTGACTGTGAAACCGTCCAGAACGCTCAAATGTAAGTTCTGATTGAAGCCGAAGAAAGTAAAACAATTCCACAAGAGCCAAACTATTACCATGAGTGTATTCCTTTTGAATTTCAGGAGCATCTCCCAAGGAGATTTGACTCATTTAACCATAATGCCAGAATACCTGATGTGCAGTGGAATGACATTAAGAAAGCAAAAAGTCATTTAAAGAAGTTGATAGAAAGAAACTATAAAAGTGAATGTCAGAACAGACTCTACCACTTGCTCTTGATCATATATAGTAGCGAAGACAGATTGAAGAGATTATTAAATCAAGGAGCTTAACATAACATTTGAAAGAGCAGCAAGAGAAAGCAAAGCATCAATCCATCTTCTTGAGGACCTTCCTCTTTTTGTTGCAAATCCACTTCACCTGGCAAGATGTCCATCTCCAGGAACTTGTCTCTCCTGACAACATTTCTAAAGTGCATAAGACAGAGCCTTGCCATCCTTGCCTCTAAGGAGCACTCTGGCCTTACTTCTTCCAATACAGACTAGTTTGTCCTTTTAACAGACCATGGTACTTTCAATATTCTCCAGCACCACAATTCGAATGCATTGATTTGGCTACAGCCTTCCTTACTCAATGTCCAACTTTCATATGCCTATGAGGCTGTAGAAAGCATGGCTTGGGTCAGGTGCACCATGGATCTCAAAGTAGCATCCATGTTTTTCAATACTCTACTATTGCGGTAGTTTTACCTAAGGCAAACCATCTGTTGAGCTCTTGACTGCTGCTTCCAGAATACCTGATGTGCAGTGGGATATAATTACTGATGTTGGATGGCTCTTGGCTCAAAACAAAGAATATCAGAAAGATGTTCACTTGTGTTTTATTGATTGTGCAATGGCATTTGACTGTGTGAAGCCTACCAAACTATGGATAATCTTGAGGAGAATGGGAATATAAAAACACTTCATTGTGCTCGTTTGGAATTTGTACAGGGATCAAGAGGCAGTCCTGCAACAGAATAAAGGAAAATTGCATGGTTTGAAATCAGGAAAGGTGTGTGAAAGTGTTTTACCCTCCAACCAGACTAGTTCAATCTGTATGCTGAGCAAGTCATAAGAGAAGTTGGCTTATATGAAGAAGAGTGTGGCATCAGAATGGGAGGAAGGCTATTGACAATCTGCTGGCATCAGAATGGGAGGAAGGCTATTAACAATCTGCAACATGCAGATCATGCAACCTTCTTGCAGAAAGCAAGGAGCACTTGAAACCCTTGCTAATAAAGACCCAGGATTACCACCTTTGGGATGGATTGCAACGCCATATAATGAAGAGCCAAATGCTCACAACTGGACCAACAGGGAACACAATACATGGAGAAGAGACTGAAGTCAAGAATTTTGTTTTAGTTGGATCCACAATCAATGCTCCTGATTTGGACAAGTGTTAGTATGGGAAAACATTCCAAAATGTTTTGGGTGCTAGGTTGCCAGGATGTGTGATTTGCACAAGTAATTTAATCCATATTTTGCCTCAGTTTTCATGTTTGTAAAATGAGGATTGTGATACTACATGAAGTTGTGCAAACTGAGTGAGAAAATATATGTAAAATATTAATAATGGTGATTGGGACATTATGAATGCTAATTGCATACGAAGTAGTAGAGTGATCGTGGTAGTGGATGTTTTCAATTTCATCCATGACACATTTGTACATCTTGACATCTATTTTCTGAACTTCTCCTCATTAAGGAAAAGCTACGTCAACTGCGAGATTGCATTTTCGGGAAAAGACCGGAAGAAGAAAGTGCCTATGGTAAGTAAAATGACTGCAATTCAAAATATGAAATAATATAGAAAATGCAAGTGCTGTCAAATTGAACAAATGCTGATTTCAGACCTACACGCTCTCACTTCCGGTTGTGTCTTAATCTCTAGTACTCAGATTCATCTTCTATAAAATGGAATAATTATATCTATTTTGGGGGTGGATTTTGTGAATTAACATATAATATAATTAAAGGACATTCTGTGACCAATAATGAAGCTTAATAAAGGCTAGTTATTTTCTTTACTTTGATTTCTCTGTCAACTGCAAATGGGATACTTGTTCTGCAGTTTTTGTTTAATATGAACCATCATATAGGGAATTAAATTATTAAAGACTCATACTATTTTAATAAGGTAGAATATTCTCAGTATAGTCAATTTTCACAATAGTCCACATGTGAATCATTTAAAATTGAATATCTCATGTTGGCTTTCCTTACAACTAACAATTCAAAGTTCCCTTGCTAACAATTAATTGTAAGTTGTTCTCAGAAAAAGCTAAAACAAAACAATTATTTTAAGGTTAATATAAACCAAACACCATTAAGTTGGTAAATCTTCTCTAAAGATAAACGACACACTTCAAAATTGAAAATAAATTATATTTTCACTAACATACCACTGTTTCCTCATCTTGACCTCTGTATAGATAGTTAAAATTGATACCCAGTAGCAAAGTTTAAATTTTTTAATCTCTCCCAATTTCAATATTTGTAGCCAGTACTTTATGTTGAAATTCAACACACTAAAATACATTTCCTTTTAATACAATTGAGCTGTTATCTACTTTTCCATAGATAATTATTTATGGATTCAGAAATGTTTCCGAAAACAGAAACATATTACTGTCATAAACAAATGGCTAATTTACAAATGATTGTGTTTTTGTTCACCATTATAACATTAAATGAGATTAAAATTTTACTAATATGAAAAGTTAAAGAATACACTATGATCATTTTTAGTAAGAAACAACAAGTATTAATAATATGGTCCCCCTAGCAAATATTTATTGAATACCTACTGTACACTTAATATGGCTTATTAATTTCTGAAGGTAATAAGATAAATTAATTTCTAGAATAATTCACTAGATCTTATTTCCAATTTACAAATAAGTCAACAGACTTGAAGAATTAAAAAAACTAATCTCAAACATACAAATTTAAAACTACAGCTTATTTTTGATATAGTGATTATGTATATATCTTTCATCTTCTTTTGATGTTTCCTGCATCATTCAATATCTTGTCCATAGAATCTTTTAATATTGTACCTGGAGGCCTGACTTTTCCTTCAGTTGTCTCAGCTTGAGGTAACGGGACACCCATTCCCTTCTGGCTCTCTGACTTTGGGTTCCTTGTGCATTTCATTCTTTTCCCCATGGCATTTGCCTTTTTAATTTACATGTCTACCTTCATTTATGTTAATTACTCTACATTCAAGAGCAAGGTTCAGAGTCTCTCCTGATAACCGCTTTGATCTTTTCCTTCTTTCTTGGCTTTTTAATGGCCCTTCCCTTTCTTCATGTTCCTGACGTCATCCCAAAGCTCAGCAGGCCTTCCATCCTTGGTGTTCAACGTGAGAACATCTATCCTTGAGATGTTCTCAAAATTCAAGTGGGATACATTCAAGGTCACATTTGGATTCTTGCAGACTTATTTTCATTTTCTTCCACTTCAACCTAAACTGACATATGAACAATGGATATTCGGTTCCACAGTCATCCCCTGTCCTGGTCTTGGCTACTGATACTGACCTTTATCAACTCCTATTCTTTCTGGTGAAATGCCTCTGGATAATTACCATTTATTGTTGCCGAAAATAAGTATTTGCAATAAAGAAATCACTGATCTTCCAAACTTCTATTATGTGAACTCCAGCTCCATTTCTATCACCAAGTCCATATTTTCCAATTATTCTCCCTTTGCTGTTTCCAACTTTCACCATTGCAATTACTAGTAAATATCAATATATCTTTATTGTATGTTTGATCAATTTCAGACTGAACAACTTGGTGAAATTCTGCAATTTCTTTATCACTATCTTTAGTGATTGGTGGATAAATTTGAATAGTAATTATATTAACCGGACTTCTTTATAGGTGTATTGATAGTAATCTATCACACACCTCATTTCACTTTGTGATACATCTTGAAATATTCTGTTGAGAATTAATGCAATGTCATTCTTCTGCAAGCTGTGACTCCTGGCACTGTAACCAAAGGGCATTCTGATTCCAAATGTGCGATGCTGGTCCACTTTAGTCAATACCTGGAGTCTTAGTCATTCTGTGTTCCACTTCATGTTTGACAACTTCAAGTTTTCCTAGATTTGTAAATTCCGTGTTGCAATTAGTAATGGATATTTGTAAATGTTTGTTTTCATTTTAAGTCATGTCCTATCAGCATAAAGTGAGAGCCCCCACCTTATAGTCCATCTGTATCATTACAGCCAATTCCATTCTGGGGAGACAGCTTGTGCTCTCTGCCCTAGCCCTCACTGCTCATTCTCGAGGTCCTCACATTTATTGCAGTGGCCACACAGGACCCACAGCCAATGCTAGCAGTTACGGAGTTTATTATGTTGTTGTTCTTCTTCTTCTTCTTACTTGCCATGGAGTTGGCTCTGACCCACAGTAACACTGTGCACGACAGAAGGAAACCCTGCACAGCCCTGCACCCTCCTCACAATGATTCCTATTCCTGAACCCACTGATGCAGCCACTGTGTCAATCCATCGGGCAACGGCCTTCCTCTTTTTTGCTGTTCTTCTACTATAGTAAACATGATGCCCTCCTCCAGGAACGAGTCTCTCCTGACAACATGTCTGAAGTATCTAAGATGAAGTCTTGCCATCCTTGCATCTCAGGAGTACTCTGGCTTTACTTCTTTCAATAAAGATGTTTGTCCTTTTAGCAGTCCATGGGACGTTCAATATTCTTCTCCAGCAAAGCAATGCAAATGAATCTATTCTTCTACGATCTTCCTTATTCACTGTCCAACTTTCACATGCATATGATGAACAGATTGTAATCCAGTTACAAAATGCTCATGATACAATTGTTCACTGGGGACATGTTATAAAGTTCTTTCAGAGCTGTTAATATATATCCAAAAAGCATGTTATTCCACTGTAAGTCACAACCACAGTCACTCAGATCGAGCTCTGTGAGTCATCAAACTCAGCTCCCAGTCACCTTATTCATTCCACAAGCCACTCTTCTGCTTAAAAGTGTTCAATATTCCTTGCTCTTTGGGCTGGGGAGTCCACTGCCTTGTCTCATGACTGCCTCCTGGTTCTGTTCTATGGACTGGGGAGTCCACTGCCTTGTCTCATGACTGCCTCCTGGTTCTGTTCTATGGACTGGGG